AGGTAAGGATAGATGCGATGTGGACCACAACCATTTCTCCCCCCGGTCGTGGCGCTTCCTAATTTTCCCCTTCTTTTGTTCAACCATTACACGCGTTGGGCACCCCGGTCCGTACCAACTGGAAGCCGCACACCACTATCAACCCCATACCACATTTTTATGTGTGTGGTGACACCCTCTTCAGAGCGCTGGACACCCGGACTAACCCTATAACTTTTCACGTCCTTGATGTCAATAGATGCCAGGAAATCCTCTTGCTGCAAGGAGGCCACTACTGACTGAATGGATTCCATCCTGACAACCAAGGATCCATGAATCCCAGAAGATGACCCTGCCATTTTGAGAAGAGGAGGTGGGGGCAAACCTTCATGCAGAGGAAAGTTTCTCAGTGTACTTGGCAGATTTGGGCTCCCAGAGGCACTTAGACCCCAAGGAGACATTGGTTCAGAGGGCTTGATGTCTTTGTCAGAAGAGGCTTGGGAACGAAAAAGTAGTTTGTGAGCAGAAAAAGATGAACCAGACTTGCTGTGAGGTTCCATAGACTTTTTATCCTGTGGTAGAAAAGTACTCTTAACCCCGGGCAAGGTCCTTAGTAATCTTGTCCAGCATTGCTCCAAATAGATGATGCCCTGTAAAAGGGAGTTCTGTATGGACTTTTTTAGAAGCCCGATTGGCAGAACAAATGTTTGCAAATAACTACCACAAACACAAAGAGTTTGATGACCAGTAGGGGGAGACATTCTCGCTGGCCAGGTGAGTTTTCAGGAGTATAGCCCATCCAGTTAACATATGAGAAACCAGTGCATAGGCTGCTTCAGCCTTCCTATCAGTTGTCTCTTTAAAGGATGGAGAGCCCTGTACTGGGATAACTGTAGCCTTAAGTCTAGAGACCAGCTCATAGGCCTTGAGTGGGAATGCCCACTGAAGGCCTATCAGCCTTGTGAGGCTAGTTTGCAGAGGTACCGGCAGTTTCGCAACCGTGGTTCTCCTCTCGGCCCCCCGTGTATAAGACGCCCCCTCCATTTTTAGGTAAATATTTTTAAAAAAAAAGTATAGTCTTATACACGGAAAAATACAGTATGTAAGGAGGTCACCCATTGCAGTGGGACAGTCCTCTAAACATCTTTTAACAAATACACTGAGTGGCCAGATTATTATGACCACCCCTAAACATTTATTATTACCCAGTTTTTTGGTTAAATATAAAAGACGGGGTCATGTCAGGTAAATAGACAATTTACATGTCAAGCTTTAAAATTGCGCGCGTCCGCGAATTTGCAGAAAACTACCACACCAAAAATTGGTCATAGGCGACGCTTTAAAAGCTTTTACCGCTCATCAGTTTAGTGTTATCAGTGATTGATGGCCCTCTAATTATTGCTCCCACTGTGACGTTCACGCCATATGTAACATGTGCGGCGTAATGGGCGCAATCGTCTTTTTTTCACGTATGCGCCCTCGACGCATGTTTGCATGTGTGTATGTATGGGTGGGGACTTTTAAAATGTTTTTGTTTTTTTTATTCTTTTTTATGTGTAACTTTAATTTTTTTGGGGGGGAAACTTTAATATTTTTTTCCACTAAACTTTATTGCCATCATATACTGGGGCTAATAAACCCCCCCTATGTGACAGGTCCTCTTTATGGAGACATCAGGGGTCTCTAAGACCCCTAATCTTCCGATCCTTTCCCCATACAATCGATCCGCCAGCTATGGAGCTTATCGCTTGTATGTTAACAGGCATCGCTGCTGTTTTTAAATATCGGCCATTTCTCGCTCGTGCGCCCAGCGGCACGCGTGAGGGGGCGTGTCTGAGCGGACGTCTAAAGACGCCCGTTCAGACCTAGAGAGCTCCCGGCCGGCCGTTTTTATACAATGGCCGGCCCGGAGTTAAACACTTTAACAACAGCTGCTCTTGAACATTTAACAAATTCTGCTGTTTTGCTAATACTCGCTCCATGACTCCGAGAGCCAACAATCATCCCATGTTCAAAGGCTGTTAAATCACGTTGTTTACCCATATCTTCCGGAAAAAAAATCACTTCTACTGTCGTGGTAAACAACCTGCTTCCCCATTTATAATGGTCTGGCCCTCTAGCAACTTCAGCGCAAAATTATAGCTAATTTGCCTACAAACGTCAGGTGGTCATAATAATCTGGCCACTCAGTGTATGTTGCATGATAGCGGTAAGTAACTATACCCCAAAAAAGGCAAGGCCCAGCACACTCAGAAAACCTAGGCAGTAGTCGCTGGTGAGGGTTGTAGGCAGCTAGTGGTAATCAAGTCAATGAAGGGGGCCAGTGAGGCGAGAACAAAAACTGAATTATCCACAATCTGCTATGAAGCAGCAGTAGCAGCGTGAAGATATTTACTTTTGCAGCAAAGGGTGAGAATGGAGAAAGAAGTGCACGTGCCACAACGCTGTCCCTGGAGAATGACATCAGCGCTAAGTTTCCTCAGACTAAACAGTTACAGTTACAAGTAACTAATCATTAAATTTTCAAGAGAAATTTGCAACCATCGGTTAACATTGTGACTCGGTTCCCTTAAAGCAGTCTGACCAACCTTCATTATTAGAAGTAATGAGAGACTGGGTCACACCAGCAGGTGAAGCCACAGCTCTAAAAGTGGAAAACACTTTTAGAGCTGTGGCTTATTATAACACAAGATATTATTACAATCCAAAAGCAACTGATAAGTGACAAAGCAGAGTCCTGTGCGAAAATAGTACATATCAAGATATGCTAACCACAGACAGACTTATCAACAGAGAGAGCGTACAGAGACAGAGCTTGGTTGCAGAATCGTCGCTGTTTTAGGCCAAAAGCGTTTTAGACCAGGTAGAAAACAGCGATAGTAAATTAGAATCACTTACAGAATTAAGTGACATTTCTTGGTACTGAAAATTAACCCCGAGCCAGACTCGGGAATACCGCCAGGGAGGTTAAACTACACAAAGTGTAGGAAGTGCCATAATGTAGAGCTCAGTACTTAAAAGCCACATACTGGGATACTACTAGTACATCCAGAGGCTTACACTGTTATATTTTCTTTGTTCAATTTGACCACTAAATAAAGAAAATATAACAGATTCTTCCATCCATGCTAAGCTGCATGGGTGGACAAATCCCTGGTGTCCCCACTGTATCCCGACAGCGGCCGCTGTCAGAATGCCTAAAAGGTGCTTGCAGCTGGTAGCTGCAAGCTTCATTCGGCTGGAGACTTTTCAACTGGCTCCTTCTATCTGGGTGGCATGTCAGACGGAATGGTGTCAACAGCGGCACCCACTGTGCAAACTGTCTGAAATTCGCAGTGTATACCCTACTTTAAACAGGGAGACATCAAAGACTGGGCACACTAGGGGCTGTACCACGGCTACTCCGAAAACAGAAGAGTACTCTGCAGCTGACACAGTACACACAGGCTTGGAAAGTGTTACAATGCAGAGCACAGTGTTCACATGCCACTTACCAGGATATCTTCACCACATTTAGAGGTACACTTAAACTGGCCATACACCTATAGGTTATTTGCAGATTTTCTGTGGTCAGATGGAAAAAGTGCAACAGATTCCTCCATCTACGCTAAACTTTGTGGATGGAGGAATCTCCCACTGGGCCAAGCTTCAGTATCTTGCTAGTTGGCCCCACTGGCTCTCAAAATACCTGTACAATCCGATTCGTTGCAGCCATTGTTCAGGTATTTTGAGAGCCAGGGGGGCCGAGTAGAAAGATACTGAAGCTTGGCCAGTTGGAGATTCCTCCATCCAAGTACATTGGCATCGGAAGTGAGGACGCTGAGGGATATAGCACAGGTGGAGCGGAGGGGGAAAACCGCCTGCAGGATCAAGGATCAGGTGAGTATATCTTTTTATTTTAGACACTAGATAAAAACGAGCACTTAACCCTACTACAAGGGTTGTACTTTGCCTGGAGTTTTTCTTTAAAGTGATTTCTAAACCATTAGAAAAGTACAGTTTATGCCAGTAGTGTTTAATCCATCAGATCAATGGTCACAAAGATTTCCATATTACCAAAGTGGCAAAACAGACTGCCCTGTTATAAGGGACTCCCATGTTTCAGATCTTTGCAGAGAGCATACTGTAGCTTCTAATCAGGGGGCCTCAATTTAACTTCTTTCAAGTGTGCCAAAAAATACTTGGCAGCTTGGGTACGTAATCTGTGTTGACTTAACTAGAAGCTAGGAGAAGCTTGATAATTCCTCACAGCAATGGCTGCTAGACTTGGAGACAGAGCACAAGGTTCCGTAAACTCTTTGAAAGCAAGTTTTAGTTGACATTACTACACCAGGAAGAAGTAATGTCATCATACCACACTACCGACAAGTGGCTTCCTGGGCGGCCCTATTGTAAAGGGACAGGATATACAACTTACTAAAAAAAAAACAAAAAAAAAACCTCTGTATCTAGACTTTCTAAGTTGAAAGCTAAGAGCAAAACTATTAATTTAGCACTCAACACAGGTTTTGTTCTCTTCCTGTATTTTATCTACAAGCACTATAAAAAGACTCCAACTTGCACATAGCGGCATTAAGGTGAACTATAGGTGAAAGGGCCACCACAGCCTCATTCTGTAACACTGGGGGGAAAAAAACACATCTCCACTGCACACTGTTGTGTGCTGTGGAGGTGTTTTTTTCCCACCCAAAAAAGAACAGTGCATCCACCCATAAAAGAACAGTTTTGAGCCAACATGAATCTCTTGCAAAAACCAGCACAGTTGGTATATGCACATACTCTTATTTCCCACTTTACAATGCTTGGGTCTAGTGATTTGATGCTTTGTAGAAAGTGGTGTGCACATTATCCCTAAACCTAAACATGCAGGTTGTCAGAGTAGTTCTGGCAGTAATGTGACAAGTTAAAAAGGTATTTCATGACAACTTATAGTTCTTACTATTCAAAATAACCCATGCTTTGTACTTTATCCAGGCAACAGATGTTTACGTTGAATTTGAAATAAAAAATACATTACTGACCTGTGCAGACTGCAGCATCTTCTCCTCAAACTCCTTACGAACAGCATTGTATTTTTCCACTGAGCCTCGCAGAGACTCTGCTGCTTTTCTGGTCTTCAGCTCTGCCTGGTATATGAAAGGTGATTGAAAGAAGCAAACACAAATTATATCTGTTCATAATACACACCAGCGTTTGAGTTAAGCATTTTCAACAGAATGTTTGGGGTTTAAATATCTGTGGACATTGGGAGTGCTACACACACCAAACACATCTTTGTCACGGTACACAGGGTATATGTAATATGCCCCGTCCTTCTGCCCCACTGCCGCTCCCCTCCCCGCATTTTCTAGCAATTTATTTCCACAGCCAGGAGTTGTCATGTAAATACAGAAGTTACTTAATCTGCTGCGGTCAAACAGACATAGTTCCATAGTAGATAAGATTGGATTAAAAAAGTTCATCCAGCCCAACCTATGTGTGAGTGTCATATTAAGTTAACAATTCTAAGAGTATACATATCCCTGTATGCTGTGCTCATCAAGAAAGACATCTAAGTTTTTTTTCCATTTGTTAATTTGTTACCACAACCTGTGCAAGGAAGTCATTTTTGTTGCTCTTATTGTGAAGGACCCCCTCTGCAATTTTAAAATAAACCTCCTTTCTTCTCACCTTAAATTGTGCCCATGTGTCCTCTTCAGGCACCTAGGATTAATCAAGTTGTTCAAGACCTTACAGCTGGCATCGATTCAGTTGTAGATAGTGATCATGTCTCCTCTTAAGTGCCCTTCTCTAAGGTAAATAACTTTAGATTACTTAAAGGTTGCCGTTCTCTGGACCCCTTCCAGTTTCAGGACATCCCTTCAAATAATTGAGGACCAAAACTGAACTGCATTCTCAAGATGAGGCCAAAACAAAGTTTTGCAGATGTTAAAAAGTATCAATTTGTCCCTCAAATACTCTTTAATGCAGGAGAGTATTCCTCTTGCTTTGTTAGCAGCTGCCTCGCATCGCATGCTATTACCAAGTCTGTAGTACACTAGGAACCCCAAATCTTTTTCTCACACCGATTCCAGTGTAACCCTTCCTAATTATTATCTTGCCTGTAAGTTTTTAGCACCCAAATGCATAACTGTGCACTTTTCAACATTGAACGTCATCTGTCATGTCTCCGCCCAGACCCCATAATGTTGGTACATCCTGTGCCATAGTTATTTCCCTGCATAATTTTTTAGCATCTGCAAATACAAAAATGTAACGCCTAATTCCAACCTCCATGTCATTTATAAACACAGTAAACTGCATTGACCCCATGACAGAGCCCTGACACATACCACTAGCAACCTTAGCCCACTCATTTACCAGTACAGACCTTCTGACAGTGTTTATAAACACTGATAGGACTTGAGATAGAGTAATACAAAAGGGATAAAGCTTTGATATGCCTATAATATCAGTAAAAACAACATGACAATGTAAAAAATAAAACAAACGTTTTTTTTAGCCCCTTATTAACCCTCAGTTTACTCTAATTAAGGCCTTCTCCCCTTAGCTATTATTTTTCCTGCTGATTTTTGTTTACTTAAAATTTTTCTAACCATTAAGGGTCCATTCACACATACTGCAGTGACCTCAGTTTTAGCGCACCAGTTCAATGCAGGTGACTACAAGGACCCAGAAAACAATTGCTTTTATGTGCCCCATTCACAACATAACATGGGTGTGATGGGTGCTGTGGTGCGATAAAATGCAAACATGCTGGATGCCACCACAGATTGCAGCGCATTACGTGGATCAGAATAGCGCGTGCACATCGTACATTCCGCATTAAAATAAAAAAATAAAAAAAAATAAATCTAACCAGTGACAGCTGCCACAACGCACTAGCCCACCTGCTAAAACACAGCATTTTAGTGGACGGGATAGTGTGAACTGGCCCTTATATTTAAACTCTTTCACTTTTATTTGTTATGTCCATTTTTTTTTTGGTGTTGCATTAACAAAAAGAGCAAAATAGAATTGTGTAGAGTAAATTAAATACTCTGTATCTACAGTGACATTTTTTTTTTTTTAAACACTGATCAAAAGAACAAAACAAAGTGTTGTATGTTTTTATGTCTATGCATTGCATACAAAATAAAATCATTTTTGCATGTGTTTGTTATTTTAAGTGATTTATTTTATGAAATGTATTGCTGATTAAACAAGCCCATAGCAGATTTAGGATGTATACAGCTGTGAGCGCTGAATTGATTAAGTAATGCACTTTAATGGTTTACTGAAAGAGTTAGAAATCCATATTATCCTCACCTTGTCCATCTCTTTTTGTGGGGAACCCTCCCTACGCAAACGTTCCTGTTCAGCAAATCTGCTGCAGTAGTTGTCCCGGGATTTTTGAAGGAGCTGTGAACTACACTGCAAAAGCTGTATGACCTCCAAGGTGCCAGACATCTCCTCTTTGGCCTGTTGTAAAGAACAAACATAAAATAAGAACAAATATAAAACTACACATTGATACAACAGAATTCGTACTAAAGCGGAGCTCGGTTGGCTCTACTCTCCCAGTCTAAACAATGCTGCACAAGGAATTGCAGGACCATGAAAGACAAATTCAAGTACACTAGTTGAAAAACACAGGAATTGTTTTCTAATGAAGAAATAACTACATTAACTGCTTTTTCATGCCTGCCTATAGTTTGGTTTAGTAAATGGAATACCTACAATTAGTGATTCATGTACCAGAGTTGTAATTTCCATTAGGTTTTGTTTCTTGAATATAAATGCACATAGCAGTTCTTAGCTACCACAAGTGATTAAAAAAAAAAGATTATTTTGTGTATGACAAAGATGCATCCTGCTTTATTCACTAGCCATGTCTGATAGCAACATTCAGCTCATAAGGTAGCTCATTTATAACTTCCAAACAACACTAAATTTAGGAGTTAAATCTTTAAAATGCATTGAAGCACCTTAATTTTTAACGAAAACGTATCTTGTTTATGTATCATTCAGCTGTAGATCCTCAAATCATCTCTGAATTGGTGCTGACACTGTCCTTCCTTCTGGAGGGTGGCTACTTTTGTTCCCCATGGTCACTGTGTGTGTTGTAAAGTAGTCACCCCTCCAAGCTCACTCACGTGATAGACTACAAGCTCATGTTATAGTTAGGTTACTTGAATGCATTTCTAAGGTTTACCTCCTGAGTTTGGTGTCCCTTTAAGTTATAAATTTTTAGAACATGAGGAGAATAAATATAGCTTTAAGACTTTTTTTTTTTTTTACAAATATACAAAAGCGTTTCGGTATACAGTATATCACTGACAGCTATGATATGTACGAAGTCTAAAAACTTCAGACAGATATAAAAGACAAAACCTAATCATGCTGTGTATTATTAAAAGGAGAACTATGAAGTGAGTGTTCGATCCTCCAGCTCTGAGTGGAGGAACGAGTGTGGGAGGGGGCGGGCACAGCTGGCTCTGCCTCTAGATAGGCAGAGCCAGCTGTCACTCAGTCAGCTGGGCGGATCTCAACTGCATTGTCGCGATCCGTCCCCGCTGCGGCGCTCTCAGTATATCGCAGGAAATGGCTCGCGATATACAGAGCTTTGGGTCACGGGAGGAGGTTAGTTTATGTCCTCCTGTGACCCTAAAGAAAACTATAAGGAAAAACACTTACCCCATAGTTCTCTTTAATGCATCCTTAATGAGCCTGTGAAAGTTCACATTTATTTAGGTTATGGTATAGCTGAAAGTAGTAATTTACAAATGGATTAATTCTGTAATGTTGAAGATGTTTTGCAGCTTCAAGTAGCTTCTTTGGTTCTGAGCTGAAAAAGCTGTTTGGATTAGCAGAAAAACATCTTCAGCATTACTGAACAAGTCTAGTAAAATATTACTAGCTACATCCTTAAAGTGCATCTAAACCCAAGAACAACAATGTAATGTATCGCAGTTTACTTGTCCTTAAGACCTCATTCAAACTGAGCATTTTGTAGTGCTTTTTCTGCTAAAAAAGCTCCCCAAAAAACCCATTTTTTTTCTATGGCCATGTTCGCATCATGCTCGTTTTCACTGCCGCTGCTGGCTGAGTGAGAGGTGGAGCAGCAAGCCACTGCACATTGTGGGGGGAAGCCATGGCAGGTACCCGAGCCAGGCCAGCTGCTGTAAGAAAGAGATGTACTGGTGCAGAGAGAAGCATGTGGAAGACAGGTGAGCTTGAGCTTTGGAGGAGGTGCAAACCTGAGCGCTTTGGGTTGGGCAGGGACATGCGGTGAGGTCAGGGTTGTCGTAGCTCTGACCTCACTATTTTAGGTTACACACAGCAGCGGGGAAGCCCGCTGCTGTGTAACCCAACATGGCTGCCAAAATCCGGATTAACAAGCGCCCCTTGTCCATAACAGATTACACAGCGGGGAGGCTTTCCCAGTTGTGTAACCTGTTAGAAGCTGGTCTGAATGGAGAAAAAGCTGTCGGCTTCAGATAATTGCCTTACCCGCCTCCCCGGACCGCACGGCCCTGTGGTGGGGGGGTTTCAGAAATAAAAGCTGAGGGGGAGGGGAGTGTGTCAAGGCCAGAGCTGTGGATGGGGGATGCAGAAGTGAGCTGGGTGGAGCAGAGGTGAAAGAGGAGGGGGGTGAGATTTAAGGGGTTTGCTGGGGGAAATAGTTTTTTTTGGTGAAGATTTTTAACATACTCCTAACTGCCATAAATTGTATGCTGTGTTATATGTTGCATACCCCTACTGTTGTAAGTTACATACTAATGTGCTGCTGGACTGAACTCCTGAGTGCTGTACTCTGCAAGATTTAGTGTACATTACTTCCTGAGCTTTGCACTTTGCATACATGATGGGCCAAACATTACATAGGCATGAACACTGCACTCTGCGTGCCCGGCTATATGTTAAATACTCCTGACTACTACATTCTGTGCAAAGGGCTAAACCTTACATACTCCTGACCCACTGCACTCTGTAGACTGAGCTATATATTTTTATTTATTTTATTTTTATTAGTATTTATATAGCGGCAACAAAATACACAGCGCTTTACATGTGCACAGTCACATCAGTCCCTGCCCTCAAGAAGCTTACAATCTAAGGTCCTTATCTCACATGCATACATTACATTGCCAATATAGACGGGAGCCAATTAACCTGGGAAAGAAACCCACACAAGCAAAAGGATAAGATGCAAACTCCTTACAGATAGTGTCCTGACCAGGATTTGAACTGGGGACCCCGGTGCTGCACAGCAAAATTGCTAGCCACTGGACTATTGTTGCTGCCCAATTACATCTTCCTGACCACTACGTATGCTTGGAGTGCAGCAGTCAGAAGTGTGCAAAGTACGCCACAGCATACATAGCTCAGCAGTCAGGAGTAGAGCTGCAACAACTAATCGATGAAATCGATTAAAATCGATAATGAGAATCGTTGGCAACGATTCTCATCATCGATTAGTTGCCGCTCTTCTCCTCCCCGCTGGTGCTGGCTGCAGCGTTCTTTGTCCCTTTAAATCCCTGCTGCTCTCCCCGCCTGTGTCGGCAGAGGGGACACAGACAGCTGCAACCAGCACTAGCCGGGAGGAGATGCGCTGTCAATACATTCCCCCCGTACTGCCCCCCGTACTTCCGCTGCTGCTGTCGGTTCCTCCTCTCACCGGTCCGGGCCGCTCCTACGATCCCCCCGGTCCGGGCGTTGCTCCTACGATCCCCCGGTCTGGGCGTTGCTCCTCTGCCCCGCCTCCCTGCCTCCTCTACATCTGTGGGCTGGGAGCCATACCCAGCCTGCTATTGGATATTTTAAAATGCAATAGCCAATAGCAGGCTGGCTATTGCAACCGCCCACTGCCTGCTGTCAATCAGCATGGGAGGACCTGATGGAGAACTTCAGGCCCCTCCTTTGCTGATTAACAGCAGGCAGATGCAATAGCCAGCCTGCTATTGGCTATTGCAATTTGAAATATCCAATAGCAGACTGGCCATTGCTCCCAGCAATAAAGTAAAAAGAAAAAAAAGTTGAAAAAAAATAAAGTTAATCTAAAATTAAAAAGACAAAACATTTTTTTTTTAAAGTTAATACATAACAATTAAAAATGCAAACAAATAGAAAAAAAAGTTTAATAAACTAAAAGTAAAAATAGTGTAAAGAAAGTGGGGCCAGGATTATATACTACATACGATAGTACAGTTTACATGGGATAGTAGCCAGGAGTATGCGACATATGACACAGCATACAGATTGCAGAAGTCAAAAATCATGTAATAAAGTCTACGTTACACAATCTTGACTAAACTTTGTAGAAGGTGCTTTATTGTACTGCTGTATCCAACATACTTATGTATTTCATGAATGGCCACTGGACTGAATTCCTGAGTGCTGCACCCGATGTGGTGTATGTTATGTATTCTTGACCCCTGTACTCTGTATGTTGGGCTGTACATAACATAATCCTGATCACTACGATTTCACGATTAACTCCATGACAAAGACGAGAGGCCACCACCTAAAATTGGTGGAGAAAAAATTTCAGCACAAGGGGTGAAGGGGGTTCTTGTCAGTTAGATCGGTTAGGGTTTGGAACTCGCTGCCACATGCAGTGATTTCAGCTAAGAGTGTGGAATCGTTCAAGAAGCTTTTGGACAATTTCCTCAGGGACCGTAAAATACAGGGGTACAAGTACTCTTAAGAATGAGATCACACAGGGACCGATACATACGCACACATCTGTAGAACCATATACATGCACACAATGGGTTGGACTTGATGGACCTGTGTCTTTATTCAACCTAAAATACTATGTAAAACATTGTAACTACACTCTGGTCAGAAGTGTGTACTGCAGGGGTCAGAGTATATATTTCTACAAAGTTGGTGGTTGCTATGTAGTCACAAACTATTTTAAAGGCCAACTGCAAATCTTACTGCTGTTCAGTGAGTTTTAGAGCGGCTTTGCTGTAAAGCCACCTGTCATAATTGGACCTGCCTGCTTCTCCCCGTAAATTATTAGTTTACATGCGGGTGGGAAGCCAATTCCCGCTGAACTTCCATGCCCATTCAGACTTCTGCACTGTAGTTGCATCTCAGCCCCCCTTTCCTTCTGGCCAATCACAAAACAGATCCTGGGGCTATTTGCTTTGTGACTGGTCAGGAGGAGAGGGGGACAGAGATGCAACCTCTGCACTGAGAAGGTTACTACCTATTGATTAAATTTTTTGATGTTCTTGCAGGAAAATAGGGGAGTATTTAGGAATGATAAAAAGTGGAGTTTCAACATAGCTAGGATAAACTAAGTCTCATCTTGGAAAACCATCCAGCTAAAAGAGAACTTGGGCAAAAAAAGTATAATTAAATCATTAAACAGTTAAAGATTTATATAAGCAGAAATGATTACTTTTCATTCTTCTGGACGGCTATAAGGAGGTGTGTAAAACAGTTGCGGCAACTGATCTTAATCTAAATTTAAATTGATCAACAGAGCTTTCATTTCTACTGCAAGATACTGGGAACGGATGGTTGAGATCAAATCTTGTCCTTTGAAATATGATTATCCTTCTCCAAATCAAATGTTATATTATTGTGGAAAGATTAAGAGGATTGAATTACGCAATAAGTGGCCTGTTGCGAAGACATAAACTTGACATTTGGAATTACTGTATTCTTACCAAGCCATAGGGAAAGAGATGGTAACTTATTAAATGTAGATAATATTGAGAACACTAAAATAATTACTTAGAAAATGAACGGTGGGAAGGTTACTTTGAATAAGTAACAACTTGCAACAGGCCTCAACATTTTTGATAGTGGAGGCTCTATGCACCTGGCCTTGGAAAAAAAAAAAAGTTATTTTGAAAGATGTTGTGCCAAATATATAGAGATACATTCCACTATTGCAGTTGTTTGGATACGGTGATTACATAGTCAGGTTGAAAAAAGATGTCCATTGAGTTCAACCTATAGAGATATGAAAAAAAAAAGCCAAAACAGAACGCTATGCCCACAATTACCCAGGGTTGATCACTTCACTACCTTCATTTTAAATATGTATGTATAATATATGTATTTTGTGTATCTATTTATGGATCATGCATTAAATGTAGTGGATTTACTCTAAATAAATTTGATCAAAAAATCAAGGTCCCAGCAGTGGACAGAGCCTTGCATTTATCTTTTGGAATCATACATTTACAGATACTGAATCGCATAATGATTAGTGCTACTTTGGTTCTGCAATGCAAAGCATTTTAACTTGGGAAGCTTAGCATTTTGACTCATAATCATATGCTACTTCCAGGTGTTTACAGGTTTCCTTCCAGAAATAGACACAGTCAGCTGGCTCACCGCAGTAAATATAAGACATCCTGTATCATGTTAGAGATGTGTTTCGTGCTCAGCTTCTTCTCATTTTTTTGCAGAATAAAGGTGACAGCCACGAAGGCTTGTATATTAAGGAAATGCGAACAACAACTATAATGTACAAAGTGCAGTAAACCTAGCAACTAATTAGAACTCATGTCTTAGCGAATTTATGATCAGTAAAATGAATTTGGATTAGATGCAACAGATTAGTGTCCTTTGCACATGATCTCCGTTTATTGCAACTTTTGTCTTTTAAACCCGCAAATCTATGGAGCTTTTACTAGTTTCCACTTCTGACAAAAACCTTTATTGTATGAGCACTTTTATCTATACAGTCATTACAATGACCATGATTAATTGAGTTATACAAAATATTTAGAATCACCAAAGAAACAGGAACACTAGACCCCTATATTTTAAATATATACCAAAAAAAACTAAATGGGGCTTTTAAGGTGTCATCTGAAGAATACAAAGGGACATAATTAAACATGTAACAACACATAGGTCACATATAGAATAATATATTAGAATAACAACTACTTTCAATTAAAAAAATATATCTGTATTAGAGCCCTGACGTGTGTTTACTGCAACTGTGGATATTGAGGAATCGTTTTACGAGGTTGTCCCTCCTTAGCCATAGGTACAATGTAGTCTATTTAATTGACTCATTAGAGAGATACTTGTTTGGTTGGGTTTGAGACCTTATATATGCATGAATTTAAATATGGTGGAATCTTAGATCGCACTGCAATTTGTACAGGTACCCTAGGACAGGCACCATGCTTCCTCTGCCCTGCCGTCCTTACATTTTCTCCTTCCTCTCAGTTTCCTGGTTGATGAGGGAGACTCCCTGAATATGTGGATCTACTCATTGGTGGCTACTCACCAATAAAACCTCAAAATGGTATTTATTAGGGATGCACTGATATATCGGCCACTGAAACATATCAGCCGAAAATGGCACTTTTGGCAAAATGCCGAAAGTGCCATTTTCTGGCCGAAATAGCGGTACATCTATCCTATTCTCTCCTCCCTGCTGGGCGCTGCTCTGTGTCCCAGCGGGGAGGAGAGAAACTGTCACAGGCGGCCGAGCGCTGCGGGAGGAGAGAGCTGCGAGTGGCCAGCATCTCTCTACCGACACCGCTCAGCCTCCTGTCACAGATCGGCAGAGCGGTGTGTGGGGGCGAAGACAGCCAGTGCTCTCCTTCCTAACAGCTGTCACGGGAGGCTGAGCGAGCGGTGCAGGGAGGAGAGCTCAGCCTCCCGTGACAGCTGTTAGGAAGGAGAGCGAGTACAAATATTCAGTGATCACTGAGTGTTTGTAAATAATTGAGGACATGGTATGGTCATTATATCCTCAATTATGAATGAATGGGAAGTGATCTACAACACCTCCTGTTAATTCATGATTGTAGTTATAGTAAACGCACTATGTTCTCATGTTATCAATGAACAGGAACACTCAGTATAGAGGATTCCTGTTCATTTATAACAGCGGCTGCAGAAAAAGAGATAGAGCACTCTGTGTTCTCAATCTCTTTTTCTATTTTAAAAGGGAAATATCAGGGTTCCGTTTAGACCCCCAATATTTCCCCGAAGCCCCTAAAAGTAAAGTAAAAAATAGACTTTTTAATTAAATATTTGTATCAAAAATAAATAAAAATAAAACATTTTAAAAGGTTAAAATAAATGACAGAAAATGCTTAAAGTGTAGGTTTCATTATCTGTGCGTCTATGAGGTTGTACAATAAATATATTTGTTAAAGGGGAACTGAATGCTGTGCTCAAAAAAAAAAAGCCAGGCAGAGAGCAAGGGCCTGCCTGCAGCTGATCTTTCCCCATTACTGACTGATTGCCTTGTTCTGCACTGTCTCTTTGTGTGGGTGGCCATCTTGGTAGAGGCAAAACTCCATGTCAGAGTCCAGGAGAACAAGGAGTATTACAGTAGTGACATCTCCTAACACTAGCAGTTAGAGGCAGCATTGCCTTAGATTTCACACGTCAGATAACAGTCTGTAGGCACAGGAGTGCCTAGACACACCCACATACCAGGGTACCAAGTGCACTGCTGTTTTACAGGAGGAATTCAAGGCAACATAAATATTTTTCCATGTACTGCTTAAGAACAATTAACTTTTCTAGATGTACACTACAACATAGCAAATCCTCACCTTTTGAGTTCAATTTGACGTTATTAAAATCCATTACAAAAAATGACTTGCAACACCAAAACTCACCTTTTTATGCACCTTGACCTGCTCTTCCCCGTATCGATTGATCTCCTTTATTAAGTCATGCAACTTCTTGCTTAGTTCTAGATGACAGAGAGCCAGCTTGTCTGAAGACACCCGAAACATCTCCCACATTGGGGCAAAGGTACTGTAAAGAAAAGCATAGCTAGTCACGCACCCTTAAACATATAGTGTTGTGGGTTACGACAAAACCTATCAAATGCCTTACTTACCCCAGGTGGCTTCCACTGCTGACCATTTTGGACAATTTTTGCATAGACTTTGTGTAAGCTTCCTCCACAGCAGCCCTGAAAGTTAAACAATAAGATTAAATGAGGGCTTATAATAATATATAAAAAATATACTTCTTTACTTTCTACCACAATGGCTATGCCGATACAGCATAATAACCATAGAAGAAACTCTTTGCAAATATTTTATTCATTTTAAAACTTGGCTGCATAAGGAAAATATCAGAAATCAACTAAAAAGGATGACAGTGGATGCGCAAGACAATTTTATTAAGTTTGATCAGCCATATATCCTCTAAAATGTTCCCTCTTTTAGAAGGAATAGACTTACCAATAGGATTCACAAATATGGGCATACAGTTTCCATTTTTATATAAATAGAGATATGACAAAAAATAACCATGCAAACAAAGTAATGTCTAGGTTCCCAAACATTATAGATTAAAGTGACAACTAGAGCATATTTGTAATGAAAACACATTGCCTGTTTAACAATGTCCAGTAAATTGTGGTTGGACTTTCACATTTGTGCTTCCCTGGTAACACTTCCTGTCCTAAGGTGACAATGCTCACTTGCTGTACAGTATGGTGGAGCCGCATAGTCATCCTAGAGAACATGAAGTAATTTACGACTACAGCACACCTGCCCTTTTCATCACTAACATAGGAATTTCTTGTTATTTACAAATGTGTACTGGGCAGGGCTAATAAGACTGCTTGAGATAACCATGTAGACTACACTGAATAGCTCTGAACTTCTGAAAAGATCTCTACGTCAAAGAGACTTTACAAAAGACTCATACTATCCCCCATTTACCGCCCATGTGACAGGTCGGCTCCTGTGTCTCACAAAGACACCAATTACTAGCTACATATTTATCCTAAACTTTTTAGCACTCAATGTCACTCATATGCATCAAGTTGATAACATACGGTATGCATCTCTTTGTTATTTTATGTATAAAATGCATGTTTCTTACAGTCAGTACATTATGCCTGAAGAAACAACCTGCATGCTTCCAACGCTTGCACCGTGATCCATTTAGTTAGCCAATAAATGGTATCACCCCAAATCTAAACTTCTGAAGTGAATCCAAAGTAAAAAGGAGTACAAGTACAAAAATCTGGACATCCAAAACCAGTCGAAACAGAGAAGTTGTCACACAAAAAACAAACACAGGCAAATCAGTCCGAGAACAAACAAACAAAGCAACAGGGAAACCAAGGACATTAAACAGTGGCTTACAGAACTTCTAAAACTAGAGAAAGTATGTACAGAAGATCTGGTCTCAGCCTTACAGATGAGAAGCACATAGGACTGATGACGAAAAGCACAAGTTGAGTCAACTTTAGCAGAAGGAGGCACTAATCTCAAAATTCATAAGCCTGCACAACAGCTTGTGGGATCCACTTAGAAATAGTGGATCTGGAAGTCGGAGATTCTGTTTTTGGGAACTTCTAGAATAACTAACAAGGAATCCGTTAGCCTAAAGAATCAGTGGCCTAGAGGGAAACCCCATATGACCACATCTATGCAATCGAGGGAGATCTCCTTAGGTAAAACATGTGACCTACGCTTTGTCAGGCACCAAATAGCCTCAAAAGCTGAAAAGGAGAGACCACTTTGGATAAAAAGTAGGTTCTTTTTTTTAAAAACAGTTTACATCACAGCGAGCTCAGCACTTAAAAGTAGGTTCTTAATCTCAAAGACAACTTTGTCTTTTTGCTAGGTCAAACAGGGCTCCTTATAGGACAACGGTGATAACTTTGAAAGCCTTCTGACATGGTGGCCACAAGAAAGGCTATCTTACACAATCGCAACATCAAGGAGACATCACAAAAAGGCTCAAAAAGAGGCCTTTTAACACCAATAAAACTAGATTTAAAGTGATATTAAGGTAAACATGTTTATAAGCTATTTCAAATGCTGATAATATAACTTACAATGGATGCTGCTTCTTGATGTTTAAAGGCTTTAGTTTGCATCAGAATCAGCTGTTCCCCTGACCACTGGCCCTGATATGCAGTTTTAGGGTGGTTCCTTTCTCTTGTAGGGTGCTATGGAGCTACGCTTGTGTGTGCTAGTAAGCTGTGTGCATCTCCACAAGCCCTTACCCTCCCCCTGCTCTCCTCCTTTTTCCTTCCTGCTTTCCTTTTCCAAGCTAGTAGACAGACTGTTCTGCCCTTGGTGATATCGTACAGGAAGTTCAGGGAAGCAGAGCTTAGAGAGATAGAGTCAGCTGTTCGGAAATATGAAGACTAAGTGCATAGGCAAAAATGTAAAGAAATACTTTGATGGTGCTAAGGGTCAAATGTTACTCTACCCCCAACTGGAGGAAAAAGAATATGGCCTACTGAAAAAGCACATGGGGATTGAACAGCCCCCCTAGTAGTCCTATTTTTTTTAGGAATGCCCCTTGGAAGGTTTAGGCTTGATTGAAAAAAATCTGTATCCAATGAACAGTTCCTTCTGTGTCTTTTGAACGGACTATAAGTAGGGATGCACCGATACCAATACTGGTATTGGTGCCAATCCTGAGAATTTGGGAGAGTACTGGGCTTATAACCACTCTCCATCCTGACTCACTGTCACAGCAGGCTGCGCAGGCAGTGTGGGAGAAGAGCTCAGCCTCCAGAGACACCGCTGACAGCTCCCCCACACCGCCAGCTCAGCCTCCTGTGACAGTTGTCTTCTCCAAGCACTGCTCTCCATCCTGATTTGCTTGCCACAGGAGGTCGAAAGGGGCGGGAGGAGAGCTTGGCCACCTGTGACACCGTGAACAGCGCTTCCTCCCCCCCCCCCCCCCCAGCCTCCTTAACGTTTCTGTCCTCCCCGCTGGGTGCTGCTCTGTGTCAGAGGGGACACAGAGCAGCACCCAGTGGGGAGGAGAGAAACTAGAGATGTATAGTGATGTACACTTGCGTACCCCCTGAAAATGTCATAAAAATGGGGAAACATGTTGGCTGCAGGTTTTAAAATTAGCTACAGGCAGATACTATACATCAGTTTACTGATCTTTAAAACCGCAAGACTGGAACTATGTCAGTCAGTATCTGTCAGCTAGTCGAAAAATTCTAATATCTACATGTTTTTAAGGCAACAGTGAACGTTAAAATGAACTTGGTCCAGCCTAAAATGTCTCTAAGGTACAGCTGTAATGCATGGCCCCTGCTTTGTCTAAGTACCTGTGTTAGTTTCCACATTGATCCTTGTGTCCCTGTGGAACTACCTTGGATCCCAAGCCCTAAATGTAGTAACTTGACTTCTACCAAAGTTAAAGAGACCGTCACCAGACCTAACTTTATTTTTTACCTACAGGATTGTTCTTGTTCACTTTACTTTTTACAGGAATTTGACACCCTTGGACTCCATTTTGTGCTTCCCCACTATGCTTGCTTCTACAACATATTGTGGAGTCTGTTTGGGTTCCCCACACTGCCCTACCATTTATCTCATATCATCCTGAGGATTACAGGGAAAGCCACACAGAGGACAATCAGCAGCAGCTGAAAAGATGTCAGTATTCAGTTCAGCAATGTCAGAAGAATTTGTACTCCACTGACAAGTAACCTTTCATTTACTGGAAACCCTAGCATATTTTCAGTTGACGATAGCTATCCTTGTGTTCAGCTTCTCCCGTCAGCAGAGTGCAAACACATAACAGCTGCAGAACAAAATGTTCCAGCATTCTGCAATCTTACAGGCAACATCAGGTAAAGTGACCTCCTACCAGATGGCGCATGTATAGTCCCATCAAACCCCTGCCATGCTCCCACTATATTCTTACAGCACAGAATGGCCGTAGCTCTCCAGGTATGTCAAGCTGTCTGAAGTACAAAACCTTTTCAAACATCTGCGCCTTAGCAATCTGGATTCCTTAACATATAATCAAAATGATAGAATTAAAAGAATTGTCTAACCACAACTCAGAACTTGTTTTGTAGTATCCTTTTGACTGCAAGGCCAACATGACCACGCCTGACCACTTTCGGCATTTAGACTCGTTTAGAGCTGATGACATCTTGTGAGTTGAGTGCTGGGAGGTTGATCCACAAAATTAGTTTTGACTTGCTGCAAGATGGTCAGACAGTGCTGGCAAGTGTGGCTTTCTGATGACATGTGAAGCGATGTTAATTTTGGCACCAAATTTCATTTTCGTTTTAGTCTTTTGATGAAAATTTATTTTTAGTCGCATTTTAGTCATCATATTAATTTTTTATCTTAGTCTAGTTTAGTCGACGAAATTGAAGTCGATTTTAGTCGACTAAAATCTAATATGTTTATTTTTAGTGTAATGCCTTATTTAAGCTATTCTCAAGCGGGGGGGGGGGTTCCATTTCACTGGATTCAGCTCCTGAGGCAGATGAATGTCAAAACAGCAGGCAGTGGCTAGAAGCAATAGCCAGCCTGTTATTGGTTATTTTAAATTGCAATAGCAGGCTGGCTATTGCACCTGCTTACTGCCTTATGTCAATCAGCAGAGGACCGAACTGAAGGAGAAATTTCTCCATCAGGTCCACCTCTACTGATTGACAGCAGACAGTTGGCAGGTGCAATAGTAGCGGGGATCGAAAGGGACACAGACTGCAGCAGCCAGAAGAAAAACCGATAATGAGAATCTTTGACAACGATTCTCATTATTGATTTAGTTGCCGAAAATTGAGTACCGGATGTAAATCGTTTTCATCCCATTAGCTACTCTTTAATTTAGTTTTTGTCACTGAAAAATGGCCAAAAAACCCCAGAAAAAAAAATGTAAATTTTCGTTGACGAAATTAACAGTGATGTGAAGGAAACCAGATTGCATATGTGCAGCTGTTTGAATAGGTTTTTAATTGCTTGAATT